CGTTTCTTGTGTCTTCCTTGGTTTCCCTGAGGACTCCTCTGACTTCACCTTTTACCACCCTCCCTCTCACCGGTTCTTTGACTCCCGTGACGTCCGTTTCGAGGAGTCCACCCCCTACTACGTCAGGTACCCCAGTCGAGGTCTCCCGGTTCCTCCTCCCCCCCTCTTCCTGACAGCCGCTCCCCCGCCTGCTCCCCCGGTACAGCCTCCCCCCCCTGGTCCAGCCCCGTCTGGTGTGTCTCAGGCTAGCCCTCCCCCTTCGGTAGCCCCCCCTGTACAGCCTCCCTCCCCACAGTCTTCCTCGCCGCCTCCTGCAGGTGCTCCCTCTCGGGAGGTTGGTCCTGCGACTGTCCCTGTACAGGTCTCTGGTTCTGGGGGTGCTGGAGTTGGAGCTGAGCCGCGGGTTGCAGAGGACTCTTGTCTTCCGGGGGCTGGTACTGGTCGTGCGGAGTCTGGGGGTGCTGCGTCTGGGGGTGAGGGTGTTCCTTCGGTTTCTGGAGAGCCTGGGTCTGGAGCTGGTGTTGGTGCTGCCTCTGGGGGTGGTGTGCTTGGTGCTTCGGAGGTCGACTCTGGGGCTGCCGCTGCCCCGGACACTACTCCTTCCCCCCACCCCTACCCGACCAGGTTCCAGGCTCGTGTTCGCCGTGCTCGTGAGGAGCAGCTGGAGTTGGAGAGAGAGGAGAGAGAGTTGCAGCGGCTCGAGGAGCAGGAGCGACAGCAGCAGGGGCAGCAGCCGCTGGAGCAGCAGCAGCCGCAGCAGCCGCAGCAGCAGCAGCTGCCGTCTCCTCCTCCTGTCTCGGGTCTTCGGACCCTTGGTCTCCCCTCTCCCTCTCCTTCCTCCTCCCCCTCTCCTCCCGTCTCTGGTCCTTCGCTTCCTCCTCCTGACCCCTCTCCCGCTGTTTTCCCTCGTTCTCAGTCTTCGTTGTCCCCTCCTTCTTCTCAGACTTGGGCCTCTCGTCGCTCCCCTCGTGCTCGTCCCTCGTCTCCTGTTCCCTTCACTGACCTTCGTACTGCCTTACTTCGTTCTAGTCCACCTCGTCCGTCTCCGTCTGTGCTTCCGTCTCCTCCTGAGTCGGCTCTCACTGCGTCGCTCCCTACTCCTGTCACAGACTACTACCGCACGTACCGTCCTCTTCTCTCTCGTGTTCTCGCCTCGCTTGTTACTCACCCTCGTGCCTCTGTGTCCTCTGTGTCCGCTCTTACTGCCGCAGTCACTGACTTTGCCTCTACCCGCCGCCTTGACTTCGCCACCGCTCTTGTGGCTGCTCCTCCTTCCAGTCCTCTGGCCGTCGGGGGTGTGTCTGCCCTTGGCTGTGACGCCCTAGAGGACAGGCAGTTTGAGCTAGAGTTCCTGGCCGCCGCTTCCCCTCATCTCTGTGCCATGCTCCTCGCCCCTGAGGGTGACCCCGACGCCCTTGACATTCCGACTCCTCGCACTTACGCTGAGGCAGTGTCAGGGCCTTGGGCCTCTCAGTGGAGAGCTGCCATGGACGCAGAGATGGCCTCCTATAGATCCACAGGCACCTACGTCGATGAGGTTCCCCCTCCGGGGGCGAACGTAGTCGACGGCATGTGGATCTACAGGGTGAAGCGGCCACCGGGATCTCCTCCGGTCTTCAAGGCACGCTACGTGGCTAGAGGTTTCAGTCAGCGCGAGGGAGTTGACTTCTTTCAGACCTTCGCGCCCACCCCGAAGATGACCACTCTTCGGGTGTTACTACACGTAGCAGCACAGAGAGACTACGAGTTACACTCTCTTGACTTCTCTACTGCTTTCCTTCAGGGCAGTCTTCACGAGGAGGTCTGGTTGCGTCGTCCCTCTGCCTTCACTGGCTCTTTCCCTCCTGGGACCCAGTGGAGGCTGAGGCGACCGGTTTACGGTCTTCGTCAGGCTCCTCGTGAGTGGCACGACACCCTGCGTTCTACCCTCTCTGACCTTGGGTTCCAGCCGTCTTCTGCTGACCCGTCGCTGTTCGTTCGTCGTGGCCCCACACCTTTCTTTGTTCTGGTCTACGTTGACGACCTTGTTTTCGCCACCCCTGACAGGGTTGCTTTGGCACACGTGAAGTCCGAACTGCAGAAGAGACACACCTGCACTGATCTTGGTGAGCTGCGCCACTACCTTGGCCTGCAGATCACCAGGGACAGAGCTGCTCGCACCATTACACTTTCACAGTCGCACATGGTGCAGCAGGTCCTTCAGCGGTTCGGGCTTCAGCACTCCACAGTACAGCGCACACCTCTTGCTGTTGACCACAGACTCACTGGACCCTTTCCTGACGAGCCGTTCGAGCCTAGTGGTCCCTACGCAGAGCTTGTGGGTTGCCTCATGTACCTGATGACTTGTACTCGCCCGGACCTCACCTTCCCTCTCAGCGTTCTTGCGCGCTTTGTTGCGCCAGGGAGACACCGTCCTGTTCACTGGACAGCAGCTGTGAGGGTGGCGAAGTACCTAGCGACGACGTCAGGCGTGGGGCTAGTTCTTGGAGGGCAGCAGTCTGTCGTACTTACTGGTCACTGTGACTCCTCTTACGCTGACGACGCTGAGACTCACAGGTCTACTCAGGGGTACTGTTTCAGCCTGGGTTCTGGAGCTGTTTCCTGGCGGTCCACGCGCTCCTCTTCGGTCTCGACCTCTACAGCTGAGGCTGAGATCTACGCTGGTGCCATGGCGGCACAGGAGCTGCGTTGGTTGACCTTCTTGCTCACCGACCTTGGTGAGCGGCCGAGCTCTGCACCGACCTTGTTCACTGACAACAAGGCGTCTATTCTCCTTTGTCGAGAGCCACGACTGGAGAGCAGAGTGAAGCACATTCACGTCAGGTACTTTCTTCTGCGAGAGTTGCAGAGGCGTGGACAGGCTCGCTTTGAGTTTGTGGAGTCCGAGGCCAACACTGCAGACATCTTCACCAAGGCGCTTCCGCCTTGTGACCACCAGAGGTGCTGTGTGCAGTTAGGCCTTGTTGACACTGGTTCTCGTGTTGCTTAGGCTTGAGTGTACTGTTTACTTTGCTTTCTATATACCTCTGTTACTTCTTGGACTGGCCTTGTGGCCACTGTTGTTTGTGCTCAGACTGTGTGGTGACGTTGTGATCCACCCTGAGCTTCGTTTCTTGGACTGGTCTTGTGACCGTACTCGTTTGGTTCTGCTAGACACCCCTCACTTAGGCTATGGGGGTGTGTCAAATGTTGTAGCCTATAGTGAGGTTTGTCTTAGGGGGTACAAAACTTAGGGTTAGCTATATGTACCCCAACCAACATCAATGCATCATCCATTCCTCATTCTGACAAGCACGTCAACTTTTCAAACGTTCGTAACAAACTTGTGTTTTCAAGTGGACCCAACTAGAAGGGGGGGTCACTATTTTAGCTGCTGGCTTTGAATAGAATTTCCATATGCAAAAACCAGCGCACACATCAAATTCCAGCGCGCACACAGGCAAAAACATGCAAAATCCTGCGCGAACACAGGCATGATCAAGCAAAATCCATGGCACACACAGGTGAAATCGGGCGCAGCAGCTAAAATAAAGAAAGGAATGATGTACGAAAAGTGGAAGGGCGTCGGGACGGTTGATTGGCCCCCATGATGTTATGTGATTTTTTCAATAACAACGTTAATTGCTTGCAATTTTTTTATGTATCTTGGATGCCAAGGATTATAGAAATGTTAAATTAGCATAACAAGTAATGCTATTACCTTTGACAAGGCTAGTGTTTGAGTTTTTTATTTAATTGTTGTGTGCGAATCTGTATTACAGCGAGACTCCTCCGAAAACTTTCAAATTGTGAGGCTTTGGCGCCAAACTTCGGCCCAATCAGCCCACGACCATGTCAGAAAGTTTCCGAGCCCGCAAAGCCGCCGACGGAACTCCATTCTATGCCATTCCACTCCCTTGCTGGGGGACGACTGCTGCTTTGTTGGGGGACGACTGCTGCTTTGCTCTCGAGTCACGGAAACCCCAAGGCAGTCCCAAGGCTTTCCTCTCGGGTCATCCATGAATGCGAATCACTAGACCTGGTAGTTCTCCTAGCAAGATTAGTCTTCTCTGTTGCCGAATTCGTCTCTCAGCTTATGCGACAGTACGGCTAAGGCGATTCGAGCGGATTAGACTTACGATTACCTAATGATTAGTAGCCGAGTTTTTTAACTTGTCTATAGCCTATGGTTTCTGTCCTGGTTCTATCTGGAACGAGTCCACGGCTCAGCTTCGCATTAATCCGCTGCCTGGCGGTGCTGGGTTCCGACAATGTTATACATTAAGCTCCTTAGAACAAAGCTCCTTAGAACAAAGCTCCTATTGTCGTCTTCGTTTCGTTTAGCGAGGGGTGACTTGTATCTGCTGCTTGTGCTAATGTAGATTCGGGTAGGCTCAACGTTGATACAGTTGACTCTGAGAATGATTTCGCACTGATGCAACGTCGCACGTTGCTGTACGACGGTTGCGACTTTTAGCGAAAATCTTCGCGACGGCGGCGTCTCACAGCAGCGAACCGCTTTTGAGGTTCCTGACTGTCTCTGCGACCTGCGAAACTCGTGAGTGAAGTGAAGCGGCGACAAGACGACATGACGCAACAGCCGACTTATTTTATCCGGAAATGGTCTTTCGAGTCATGAGAAGCTTGTGCGGCGGAAGCAGTTGCTCCAGCGAGTCTTGGGCTTAGTGCTGAGAGCAGCATCCTTCCGAGTGACGGAATATCAGCCGTCGAAACTGGCAGTCTGAAACGAACGCTTTCCGAGATTTCCGGCCGGGAACAACGCAGCGTTTTTCGGAGTAAGAATCAGCGGCGGAAAGCTGCTGTTTGCAATTGGCAGCAGTAGTGTTCGCCGACTGGCACCGCAAGAGTCAAGAAGCGGACGTTACGATGCGTCGCAACGGTCAACAGGACGCAGCGTGACGCATGTCACGAGAGATCGCTCTGGGCCGTACGGCATGACAATCTCATGCGTTCGCATCGAGTTAGTCGGCGTTCCCTTGAATTCCGCACGCGATCAATGAATGATCAACGGTACGTTAAGGAGAAGGCTGGTGGGGGGGATCATGTAGGCGTCTAGAACAGCACCGCCTAACGTAGTCTTGACGCTCTCCTTTTTCGCGTCGCGTTTGAGTAAAGCTTCCCACTAACGCGTGTGCCTTACCTCTCTTGCCGTCACCCGCCGTTCTCCCCTTTGTGTGTGTGTTCGCAGCACGGACGGGATTTGGACGGTCGCCATCGCTGCAGTGTCGGACCAAGGTTGCTCCACACATCGCCTCACGTCGCTCCAAGCTCGCAAGCGTTCTTTCGTAGGTGTGCGCGTGGAGGCGTCCGCGGAAAATCGTAGGCGTTTGAGTAAAGCTTCCCACTAACGCGTGTGCCTTGCCTCTCTTGCTGTCCCCCCGCCGTTCTCCCCTTGGCGTGTGTGTTGGAAGCACGGACGGGATGTGGACGGTCGCCATCGCTGCAGTGTCGGACCAAGGTTGCTCCACACATCGCCTCACGTCGCTCCAAGCTCGCAAGCGTTCTTTCGCAATTGTAGGCGTGCGCGTGGAGTCGTCCGCGGAAAATCGTAGGCGTGCGCGCGGAGGTCGTTGGCGATCAGGGAAAGATCAACGGTACGTAAGAGCGAGACAGCTGTGGGGGGGGAGTGTATTGAGTCGTAGAGCGTCGCCGCGCAGAGGCAAGAGTCGTGTCTCTTGCTTTTACCTCCGTCACTCGCCTCCTGCTGTTTCTAACCCTCCCTTATTGGTGCCGCTTCTGTGTGCGTGTCTCTTTCCCCGCGCGTGTGTGTGTGTGCCTCACGGCCTGCGAGCATGGGCAGCAGGAGCAACGGAGCGACCTGGAGCAACTTGGAGCAGCAGGCGTGAAGGGAAGGCGTGGTGCAGGAGTGGCAGAGCAGCGGACAGAGTGTGGTACGCGCCAGGGGGTGCTTGCAGGGGGGAGTGTATTGAGTCGTAGAGCGTCGCCGCGCAGAGGCAAAGAGTCGTGTCTCTTGCTTTTACCTCCGTCACTCGCCTCCTGCTGTTTCTAACCCTCCCTTGTTGGTGCCGTTTCTGTGTGCGTGTCTCTCTCCCCATGTGTGTGTGTGTGTGCCTCACGGCCTGCGAGCATGGGCAGTCGGAGCAACGGAGCAGCCTGGATAAGCACACGTGAAGGGATGTTGGTACAGCAAGCTGCTTTCTCTTCCAACAGCAATCTGCTTTCTCTTCCAACACAAGAGGTAACTGGGGGTGACGATGCCGCAGCAGCGTGAATGCACTGTGCGTTGCTTCTTGACTCAGCAGTGAGAGTGCACCAAGTGTTGCTTCTAGTCTTAGCAGTGAAATTGCACCAAGTGTTGCTTCGTGCCTCTCCGCTCATCTCTCAAACTCTTTCTTTCCTATCCTCATCTTCTCTCCTCTCCTCTTCTCTGCTCTCCTCTCCTCTTCGTTGCTCTCCTCTCTTCTTCTCTGCTCTCCAGAAGGACATGCCCTTATATCCTCACCTGCTGCCCTTCCACCCTCCATGCAGGCATGTGCGACCTGCTATCGCCCTTCATCATCCTCTTCCCGCACCCCGCCAACGCCTTACCCATCCCACCATGTACCATCTTTCACCTGCTGCCCTTCCACCCTCCGTGCAGGCATGTGCGACCTGCTATCGCCCTTCATCATCCTCTTCCCCCACCCTGCCGACGCCTTCTGGTGCTTTGAAAGCCTCTTCTCCAGAATCGTGAGCCTCTTCCCCCTGCTCTGCTCGCTCAACCTTCCCCTTCTCTCGTCTGCTCGTGTCACCTCGCATTTAGGCTGACGCGCACTGTTCTGCTGCTTTGCGCAACTTGCAAATGACTCTCAATACATTCGCCCGTCTTAAATTTCCCCGCTCCCAACTCCCCTACCCATCCCCTCCCCTCCCACCTCCTCCCTTCCCAACAGCGCCACAACTTCTTGACAGAGGGGCCGGCGGGCATTCTTTGGCAGCTGGCTGTGGTACGAGACGTGGTGGCGCTGGTGGACCCCGAGCTGGCGTTTGCCTTCCCTTGCCCTCACTTCCCCCCCTCACCCCCTCCGCCTTCCCCCCTAACAGCGCCACAACTTCTTGACAGAGGGGCCGGTGGGCATTCTTTGGCAGCTAGCTGTCCTGCGAGACGTGGTGGCGCTGGTGGACCCCGAGCTGGATGTTACGCCTTCACCTGCTTCTCCCAACCCCACTCCCTTCTGCCTCCCTCCCACAACAGCGTCACAACTTCCTAACAGAAGGCCTGGTGGGCATTCTTCGGCAGCTAGCCCTGCTGAGGGACGCGGTGCACCCTCCCCTGCCCCATGCCGCCTCCCATCCCAAGCTGGCCTCCCACCTGGAGGAGCTTCATGCTCGCCTGCCCCTGCCCCTCCCACCTTTCCGCCCCTCCTCGTCCCGCTCCAACAGCGTCACAAATTCCTCACAGAGGGCCCTGTGGGCATTCTTCGGCAGCTAGCGGTGCTGAGGGACGTGGTGGCGCTGATGGACCCTGAGCTGGCGGGGCACCTGGAGGAGCTGGGCGCGGACAACTTCATGTTCGCCTTCCGCATGCTGCTCGTGCTCTTCAGGAGGGAGTTGCCGCTGTTGGACGTCATTGTCATGTGGGAGGTGCGTTCACTTACACACGTCATTGTGCGGTGGTGGGTTGAATAGATGGTGGAGTGAGGGAAGTGAGTGTTGAGCTCCCACATCTGGAGGAGCTGGGCGCGGATAACTTCATGTTCGCCTTCCGCAAGCTGCTCGTGCTGTTTCGAAGAGAGTTGCCGCTGCTCGATGTTATTGTCATGTGGGAGGTGCGTTGGAGGGGTGGAGATGGGTTGGATAGTATTGACCATGGGTTAAGGGGAAGGTGGGTGGACCCCGAGCTGGCGGGGCACCTGGAGGAGCTGGGCGCGGATAACTTCATGTTCGCCTTCCGCATGCTGCTCGTGCTCTTCAGACGAGAATAGCCGCTCCTCGACGTTATTGTGATGTGGGAGGTGGGTGAAAGGGAGGCGGTGGGGGGTTGGATAGAAGGTGGGTCGCAGGGGAGGTGGGTGGTGAGCTCACTCACCTCTCCTCATGTGAGAGGCGCGTTCATTCGTCGCTGTGAGGTGGTGGGTTGGATGGACGGTGGGTTGCAGGGGAGGTGGGTAGTGTGGAATAGGATGTGGGCAGCGGATTATGATCCGCGCATGGCGGCAGTGCTGCTGTACCATCCTCCCGAAGGCCTCCATTATTGCTGCATCTCTTGTTGAGGCACCTCAAACACCAACTCCTTACCCTCTACTCCCTGTCTCCTGTCCCCTGTCCCCTCCCCCCACTCCTGCAGACAATGTGGGCGGCAGACTACGATCCGCGCATGGCGGCAGTGCTGCTGCACCATCCCCCACTCCGTCCCCCCCCCCCCCCCCTGAGGGCCTTTCCCTCATTGCCCAGTCTGTTGCTGAGTCAGCACCACAAGTTGACTCCTCCTTACTCCCTGCCCCCTCCTCCCTGTTCCCTGCGCCCTCTCACCCCACCCCCACGTGCAGATGATGTGGGCAGCGGACTATGATCCGCGCATGGCAGCAGTGCTGCTGCACCATCCCCCTGAAGGCCTCTCCCTCGCAGCCGAGCCCCTCACCTGGTCCGCAGGCCTTCCCCCTCTCCAGCCCCCCTCCTCCGCGCCTGACCCCTCCCCCACACACCCCACACACTCCTCCCTCCCCCCAACACACCCCGACCCCTCCCCCTTCCCCGCCATGCCCCCCATCCCCCCGTCCCTCCCCCCGGTGCTCACCCTGGGGCTGGGGAAGCGGTCTGGGCGCAAGGGGGGGAGCATGGGGGGGGGCATGGGGGGAGTGGGGGGAGCGGAAGGGGCGGGGGGGAGGGGGATGTCGCGGTGGGGGGAGGCGCGGGTGGGGGATGAGGACCTAGCAGTGTTCTGTGTGGCGGCCATTCTGAGGGCCAACAGGAAGAGACTGCTGCAGGTGAGGGCTCAGACGAAGCCATCAGGGTGGGTCTTCTTGGCCTTTGGGACGCCTCAGAAATAGGACTTGGTGATGATCTGTGTAGCGGCAATTCTGAGAGCCAACAGGAAGGTACTGTTGCTGGTGCAGGTGCTTCCTCACGAGGTGCTTCCTCACGAGGTGCTTCCTCACGAGGTGCTTCCTCACGAGGTGCTTCCTCACGAGGTGCTTCCTCACGAGGTGCTTCCTCACGAGGTGCTTCCTCACGAGGTGCTTCCTCACGAGGTGCTTCCTCACGAGGTGCTTCCTCACGAGGTGCTTCCTCACGAGGTGCTTCCTCACGAGGTGCTTCCTCACGAGGTGCTTCCTCACGAGGTGCTTCCTCACGAGGTGCTTCCTCACGAGGTGCTTCCTCACGAGGTGCTTCCTCACGAGGCGCTTCCCTCACGAGGCGCTTCCCTCACGAGGCGCTTCCTCACGAGGTGCTTCCTCACGAGGTGCTTCCTCACGAGGTGCTTCCTCACGAGGTGCTTCCTCACGAGGTGCTTCCTCACGAGGTGCTGGCGAAGGTGGATGCAGTGAAGTGGCAGATGGAGGCGGCGAGAGACACGCTCCAGGTGAGCAGCAGGCCCTTTCTCCCCCCCCCCCATTTCCCTCTCCATCGTCCCTCTCCATCATCCCCCCTTTCCCTCACTCACGGTTGCCTTGCCTTTCCCCCCTTCCCCTTCCCCTCCCCTTCACCATTCTCCTTCCCCCTCTCCATTTCCCGCTTCCTCTTCTCCCACTCCTCTTTCCCTCTCCACTTCCCCTCTGCACTTCCCTATCTTCTTTTTTTCCACCCCTCACCCCCTCCGCCACCACAGTACGCGGCGGGGCTGGCGCAGCTGAGCGCGTCAGAGGAGCAGGTGTTCGCCAGTCTCCCCACATACCCTTCCCTCTTCCTCTCCACTCCCCCCCTCCGCTTTCCTCTCTCCACTTTCCCCCTTCCCCATTCTACCACAGTATGCGGCGGGGCTGGCGCAGCTGAGCGCGTCAGTGGAGCAGGTGTTCGCCAGTGGGGACCTGCCACGTGTCGCTGAGACACTGGCCAACATGCGGCGCTGCCTGGAGGTGGTGGGCGATGTGAGTCCCCCCTTGCACCTGCCCCCGCTTCTGTCCCTGTGGCCTGTAACACCCCGTACCCCATGTCCCATGACCTCTGCTGCATGCCCCATGCCCCATGCCTGTGCCCCACGCCCCATGTCCAATGCGTCTGCTCGCCGTGCACATCCCTCCTCTTTCCTCCTCCCCGTCATTGTCTCTCTCACCTCTGCGCCTACCGCTTCGGCACTTCCCCTATCCCCCTACCTCTCGCCCTATCATCCATCAGGCGCCCTTCCATGTGTTTTCCCCCTCTCGCCTCTCTTCCCCCTCCCTCCATCATCCATCAGGCGCCGGAGTTTGCAGGCAACAAGAGGCAGTTGCAATCGCTGAAGGACCGCCTGGAGCAGATGGTGCAACCGCGGCTGTCAGACGCGCTCACACACAGCAAGGTGGGTCTAGATTCGTGCACTCCATGCTTGAAGCACCTGGAAGAGCACCTTAGATTCGTGCGCTCTGTGTGTGTGTGTGGTATCATGTGCGGCGCTCTTATACCTGAGTCACCGCTTTCTTCTCTCACACCCACCTTCCCACACCAGTTGGACGCGTGTCGCTCGCTGACAGGCATCCTGGCAGCCATAGGGAGACAGCACACAGTGGAAGCTCTCTTCTGCCTCGTGCGCTGCCCTGCAGTGCGCTGTTAACGCTCAAGCACCTCTCTCTCCCACCTTCCTCTGTTCCCTTTCATTCTGCTCCCAGTTGGACGCGTGTCGCTCGCTGACAGGCATCCTGGCGGCCATAGGCCGGCAGCACACAGTAGAGGCTCTTTTCTGCCTCGTGCGCTGCCGCCCGCTCACACGCCTGTGGGAGCAGTTCGAGGTCACTGCTGTGGCGCCGGGCGCAGGTAGGGGGCTAGGGGGTGGAGTGGTGGAAGGGGTTGGCAAGCCAAAGATGCTTCGATCATGGCTGTAGAAGTAAGCGCAGGCGCAATTATATCGTCCACCCCCTCACCTTCTGCCTTTCCTCTGTTCAACACTCACATCGCCTTCTCTGCTCCCCACACCCATAGTCTCATCCATTCTGCTCCTCCCCCACCTCTCCACTCACCTCCTCCCTTCCCTCCATTGCACTTCCCCCTCTTCCCTCAGGCCCCTTGGCAGCAGCGTTACAGTTCCCCGAGTGGTTACCGCGCTGGTACGACGAGATGCTGTTGGCAGTGGAGCAGGAGGCGCGCTGGTGCGTGGCAGCCTTCCCCCACCACGCCTCCCCCCTGCTGCTGCGTCTTCTCACGGCCACATGGGACGGGCTCTCTTCCAGCTTCACTGCCCGCGTCAATGCTGCTGTGTCTGACGCTGCGCTCGCTGCTCTTGCGAGTGCTGCTGCAAGCGAATCAGGTAGGGATGGGGGGCTTGTCTGCTGCTGTAGCACCTGCTCACGGCCACGTGGGGAGGCTCTCTTCCAGCTTCACTGCCCGCGTCGACGCTGCTGTGTCCGACGCTGCACTTGCTGCTCTTGCCGCTACTGCTAGTGAAACAGGTGGGCTGTGTGTAGCACCTCCTCACGGCCACCTGGGGCGGGCTCTCTTCCAGCTTCACTGCGCGTGTCGATGCTGCTGTGTCTGATGCTGCCCTTGCTGCTCTCGCTAGTGCTGCTGCGGATGCTGGTGAAACAGGTAAGGGGTGTGTAGCACCTGCACACGGCCACGAGGGGAGGGATCTCTTCCAGCTTCACGGCTCGCGTCGATGCTGCTGTGTCTGACGCTGCCCTTTCTGCTCTCGCCGCTGCTGCTGCAAGCGAATCAGGTAGGGAAGGAGGGCCTGTCTGCTGCTGTTACGCCTGCTCACAGCACAGCCACATGGGCCGGGCTTGCCTCCAGCTTCACTGCCCGCGTCGATGCTGCTGTGTCTGACGCTGCCCTTGCTGCTCTCGCTAGTGCTACCGCTGATGCGGGCGAAACAGGTAGGGAGGGAGGGGTTGGGGAAGCATGAAGGCAAGGGAGGGAGGGGAAGAGGGCTTTGGCACCTGCGCTCACCCCCTCTCCTTCACTCTCCTCAACTTCCTTTTCTCTCCTTTTGCTGCTACCTGCCTTCCCTCCCCCTCCCCCGCCATGCAGCGTCTCAATCCCGGCCTCCACCCGTCTCGCTCTCCTGCTCACCCTGCACACCACCACCACCACCTTCGCCCGCAACCTCTCCCGCCACCTCGCCTCCCTTCCTTCCGCCACCGCCGATGCCACTAAACCATCCTCCACTGAAAAAAACACACAAGGAGCCGCAGCAACAGCAGCAACAGCAGCAGCAGGAGGAGGAGCGGTCGGAGGAGGAGCAGCAGGCGGAGGGGAGAAGGGCAGCAAGAGCAGGGGCAGGGAGGAGGAAGAGGGGGAGCAGGAGGGGGAGGGCCCAGTGAGCGTGAGCGCGGTGGTGTGGGCGGTGTTCCGGCCCTTGGAGCCGTTCAAGCGGCGCTACGGGGACTATGAGCGCGCACAGCTGGCGGCGGATCTGGCCGGCATAGATCTCCGACCGGGCGGTGCAGTGAAGCAAGTGGGGCAGCGCGGACTCGTGCTGGCGGATGCTGTGCGGCGCATGGAGGTGAGAGGTGGTGCTGTGCGGTGCATGGAGGTGTGAGGGGTGTTGGAAGGGGCATGGAGGACATGGCAGCAGCAATGGAGGCAGTAGTGTAGCGCTGTCTCATCCCAGTCTGCTGTTTGCTTCTTCCCATCACCTTTCCTCTCCTTTCCGTTTTCACTCCCCCACCGCACAGGCGGCCATCCCAGCAGCCATGGCAGCACTAGAAGCAGCAGTGGAGCGCTCTCGCCTTCACAGGGAGCTTAACAGTGTTGCTCACCGCTCTCCACCACTCTCTGCTCCTCTTCCCCCCTTGCACAGGCGGCCATCCCAGCAGCCATGGCAGCACTGGAAGCAGCAGTGGAGCGCTGTCTCGCCTTCACAGGGGGCTCAGAGGCAGCAGCGCTCCTCACCGCTCTCGACCACTCCATCCTCCTCTTCCTCTCCCGCCTCTCCTCCTGCCTCCAATCCCTCCCCCCGATCTGCGGCCTCTCCCCTCCCCCTCCTCCCAACCCTCCCTCCTCCACCACTCCCTCCCCTCCAACCCGAGCCTCCGGCCCAGGCTCGGACCGAACCAATCCAGTCTCAGACGATCCACTAGCCAGCCTACCGGACCCGGCGGGGTACGGTGGGTCGGGGGCGGGCGGGGTGGAGGAGGAGGAGGAGTGGGCGGTGGTGCAGGGGGCGCTGCAGCTGCTGAGAGTGTGGCGGTGTTTGAAGCCTCCCTCCGCAGTGCCCTCACACAGCTCTCCCCCCGCCTGGGGCTAGATGCTGAGGGGGATGGCGCGGGGGAAGGGGGCGGGGAGGGCGCGGGCGGGGAGGTGAAGCGGGTGGGGTCGGTGGGTGGTGCAGCGGGAGGGGGAGGGGGAGGCGGAGGGGGAGGCGGAGCAGGAGTGGGAGGGGGAGTGGAGGGCAGTGAGGTGGATGTGGCGGTGCTGAGACTGGGGAGTATCCTGATAAGGCACAGCGCCTCGCCAGGTGCAGCGTGATGGGGTGAAGGGATGGTGGGCCATGTGGTGAAAGCAGTGCAAGGCTTGATTGTGCTTTCAATACAGCACGAAAATGACCATGTGGCCATTTCGGCCTGGCTCCATAACTGTTGCTTGCCTCCTCTTGCTCTACCCCCGTTCCCCCATTCCTCCTTCCCGCCAATGGAAGTGCACCTGCCCTCATCAGGCTGCTGGACGAGTTGAGGGACCCGCGCATCCATGCGCTCCCACGCACAGCACAGCGCGTGAGAAGCTTCCAAGAAGCGGTGTCGTCGCTGGTGTATGATGTGCTTATCGCTAAGGTCCGTTCATCCCTGACCCCCTCTCTCAATCCCCGCTCTCTCGCCCGCATCGCTCTCATCACCCGTCTCGTTGCTCAGCTTGTGAATCTTTTCCCGCAGCTGCTGCTATGCTCCTCTCCACACCGCCCCCTTTCTCGTCCCTACGCTCACTGCCACTGCCTTTTCTCATTTCATCAATTCATCTCACCCGCCTCATCTCTCTCCCCACTTGCCCCTATCCTTCTACATCCCTCCCCAACCCTGCAGGTGCGGCGGCAGCTGGCAGGGGTATCGGCAATGCCGGACTGGGCATTGGGCGAGGAGGAGAATGTCTTTGACCTGCCCTCTTTCAACGCATACGCCCTACCATACATCACGGCCGTAGGAGAGTACCTCCTCACTCTCCCCCAGCAACTCGAGCCTCTCGCCGTCGCTGCCTCCGAAGCTGCCCCGAGCCTGCTCCTGCAAGCCTCGGCAATCGGTGCTTCGGCAGGCGGGGAATCCGCAACACCGACCGCAGCAGGGGAGGAGGATGCAGGGGCATATTTCGTCCGGGAGTGGATGACAAAGGTTGCTGACGGGGCGACGTCGCTATTCGTCGAGCAGATCCGGGCAATTCCCGAGGTGTCGGACCGGGGGGCACAGCAACTAGCAGCAGATATTGAATATCTGTGCAGTGTACTGTCGGTGCTCTATGTGGCTGCATCGCCTGCTATTGCGACCTTCCAAGCGTGCTTTGCCACGCCCAAGGCGAGCCTAGCGGAGTTCATTGCTCAGGAGAGCGGTGTTGGGCGGCTACAGCTATGAAAGGGTGATTACACCTTACCCTAGTGCTTCCCAGTTCCCTCTTGTGTTCTCAGTGGCTGGTTCAATAGTGTTTGCGTTCACTCGCCTCCTTTAATCCTTCTCATCTTGCTCGTCCTCCCCTCTTCTTTCTGATGTTGCTCGTCCTCCCTCCTTTCTGTGTCCTGGTCTCCCTCCCCTCTCCATGTCCCATTCATGTCCCTGCCAACAACTGTGGGGAAAGCAGTGGCAGCAACAGCAGTGCTGCATATATCTTCATGGTAGGTGGGCCTCTTGCTTCTGCACGGGGGAGTTGCTGCCCTTGCAAGCATACATTTCTCACTTAGTGCTTCACAAGGCTGTCTGACACTAACATCAAACACAACTACTGTTTTCCTTCTCCCTGATCTCTGTCCTCCCCTGTCTTCCATGTGTCATTGTTGTCCTGTTGGCTGGCCCTCCTCTGCTGATGTGCAGGGCGAGGTAGACGACTGTCACTGCCGCATGATGATCGCCCACCAACAACTCAACATGCGCCGCTTCTGTGCTCACCCGTGCTTGCTTACCTGCCCTTGGCTTTGCTAGGCGTGGTTAGGTGTGCATATCTTTGACTAGGTCTGCTTAGGCGTGCTTATCTTTGCTTAGGTGTGCCGTGTTGCGCTGTGCTGTGCTGGGATGGGCGTGCATGCTGTAGATTAGGTGGGTGGGTTGCGCAACCTGGATGGCTGCTAGGCACAAGCACGCAAGCAGGGCAGAGCGTTTTCCTGCAGGTGCTGTGCCGTGCCATGATGCCCAAACAGAGTACACAGTGGGCAGAAACTCCCAAGCAGGACAAAGTGGCCTCCAGGTCCTGTGCTGTGCCGTGCCATGATGACGTCGCTGCTACGGGCTGGGACTTAGTCGGCGGTTCTGAGGTGAGTGAGAGTGAAGTTGAGATGAGAGGCACACAAGCGGCGATGGTGAGAAAGTGTAAGTGCTGGAGACACAGCCATGTTGTACCGGTACGTGCACTGCACCAACACAACCAGCCATACACGAGCTGGTAGGAAAAGTCCCGAATTTGGGATTTCAAGATCTGACAGGAAACAGCAAATGCTCACATCCTGTTGCAGTACAGGAGGAATGGTCACTCACGGGGGTACGTTGAAACATTCCCATATTCTAATTTTGGAGCAGTGGCAAGACGAGCAGTAACCATAGCAAGCCGTGCTACCATGTACACATAGTACCACTCAGGCAGTATGTGTTGCCATAACTTCCCCTGTGCCTCAACATCAATGTAGCGCCACCACATTGCCACAACGACCTGCGCCTTATCATTTCAACCCATTCCCCAATGGTAATAGTGGTGGTAATAGTGTCCAAATATATTCTAGTGGTGCTATTGATGGCTTTCACAAAGCGAGACAGACCAACATAGTTTGTTAAGGCATCGGGGGCGATACAGTACCGAGCCACGTTACAGCGAGAATCCCCCAAAAGCTTTCAAACTGGGAAGCTTTTTGGCGCGCAACTTCCGTCCAATCAGCCGACGAGCATGTCAGAAAGCCCCCACCCCAACGAAGCGCGGACGAGCGAGCTGAGCGGAAAACATCACGGGCTCCCACCCCCATGGGGTATGCCATTCCCTTGCCGTCACGCGGCTCTGCAGCTTTGCTTTCCTCAGCGGCGGAACTTCCAAGGCATTCCCAAGGCTTTCCTCTCTGCTCATTCATTGCTCACAATCCAAGTCACTGGACCTCGTAGCTCTCCGCGGAAGATTAATCTCCGACTTCTCGTCTCTTAGCTTCTGCAACAAGACGGCTACGGTTCGAGCCGATTAGATCGATAAGTTATTATTGAATAGCAATCGAGTACTTTAACTTGTCTTTAGCCTGTGGTTCGTGTACGGGTTCTATCGATTACCAGGAGCTTTCGCATTAATGAGCTGCCTGCTGGTGCTGCGTTGCGACTTTCGCATTAATGTTAGACATTCAGCTCCTTAGAACAAGGCCCTATTGTCGTCTTCGTCTTTGATTAGCGAAAGGTGACTTTTAGAAGAAATGGCCTAATCGCTGCTGCTCGTGGTAACGTAGATTCAGCTAGGCTCAGCGTTCAAACAGTTTAGTCTGAGAATCATTTTTCCCCGATGCACCGTCGCAAGCTGAAATACGACAGTTGCGACACCCAGCGAGGCTTCTTAGCGAAGATCTTCGCGACGGCGGCGTCGCACAGCAGCTAGTAACCGCAGCTCGACACCTTTTCAGGTTTCTGGCTGTCTTTGCTTGCCCTCCAGCGACCTGCGAAACTCCAGAGTGAAGTGACGCGGGTCAAGACGACAAGGCGCAACAGCTGTAGATGGTCTTCTGAATCATGAGAGCATCGCGCGACGGCTGCGGTTGTTTCGGCCGGTCTTGGGTTAGCTTTGAGCGAGTACCGCATCGTCCAGTCCGAGTGACGAGTGAATGCTCCACCGTCGAAACTGCTAGTTTGAAACACCCGTGAGACCGAGGCAGCAGTAGGAGCAGCATCGACGTCAGGCTCCGACCGGACGGCACTGACAGTCGGCCGTCGAGATTGCTGGCCGGGACCAACGCATCATTCTCCGGAATACGAACAAGCGGCGGGAAGCAGCGTTCGCAGCTGTTCGCAAACGGCAGCATAGGTGTTCGCCGACCGGCATCGCAAGCAGCGCTTTTTATTGTGTCCGATTTCTGGCCGTCAAGAGCTGCGAGACGCAGGTCGTCGCTGGAGGACGTTTCGATGCGTCAAGTGTGAGACGCCGCAAAACACTTGTCGATGCGTCGAAACGGTCGGCATGACGTCGCCGTCAGGAGCAGCGTGACGCAGGTCGCCGGAGATTGCGCCGGAGATTGCACCATGCGGATCGCATGCGGTCGCATCGACTTCTTCGGCGTTCCCTGGGATTTCGCACGCGATCAACTGTACGTGATAGCGAAGGCTGTGGGGGGGGGCCTGTAAGCGTCTAGAATAGGAACGCCTAGAGAGTCTCGTCGCTTTCCCCGTTCGCGTCATGTTCGAATATACCCTCCCACTAACGCGTGTACGTTCCTTATCCCCCTGTGCTGCTTGAACTCCCCTCTGCATGTGTGCGATTCACTCGGAGGCACGGGATTCGGGTCGTCGCCATCTCGTATGCGTGCGACTAACGTTGCGCCAAACACTTTCCGGGAGATCCTAGGCGTCGTTTGAAGTTTTACTTGACGTGGCCGTCAGGAGCAGCGTGCATCTCGGAGGCACGGGATTTGGACGGTCGGGGCTGCGTCGTTCGAAGCGCTCAGGCGTTCTTTTTTCGTCTTCGCGTCATGTGTGAATCTACCCTCTCTTTAACGCGTATACCATCCCTCTTCCCCTGTCCGCTTCGTTCTCTCCTCTGCATGTGTGCGTTAACTCCGAAGCACGCGATTCGGGCCGTCGCCAGTGAACGCTGCAGAGACCGAAAGAGGTCGCACGAGTGAAGAGTCGAAGGTGTGGAGTGAAGGAGCTGCAGAGCAGCGGAAGGAGCATGCGTGGTACGTGCCAGGGGTGCTTGCAGGGGGGAGTGTAGTGATTCTTAGAGCGTCGCCACGCAGAGGCAAGAGTCATGTCTCTTGCTTTTGACTCCGCCACTCGCCTCCTGCTGTTTCTAACCCTCCCTTGGTGGTGCCGCTTCTGTGTGTGTCCCTCTCTCTCCCCATGCATGGGCAGCCGGAGCAACGGAGCAACCTGGAGCAACTTGGAGCAGCAGGCGTGGTGCAGGAGTGGCAGAGAGTGGACAGAGTGTGGTACGCGCCAGGGGTTGCTTGCGGGGGGGGAGTGTAGTGAGTCGTATTGCGTCGCCGCGCAGAGGCAAGAGTCGTGTCTGTTGCTTGCGGGTCCACCACTCGCCACCTGCTGCTTCTAACCCTCCTTTATTGCGCTGCTCTCTGTGTGTGTGGCTCTCTCTCCCCATGTGTGTGTGTCTCTCTCTCCCCATGTGTGTCTGTGCCTCATGGCTTGCGAGGCGGAGAGCAATGGCAGCACGGGGACGCCTGAAGGGAAGGCATGGCGCAAAACTGGGAGTGCAGCGGACGGATCATGGTACGTGCCAGGGGGTGCTTGCAGGGGGGCCGTGAAGTGAGTCGTAGGGTGTCGCCGCGCAGAGGCAAGAGTCGTGTCTCTTGTTCTTGTCTTTGCCACTCGCCTCTTCTTCTGCTGCTCCTAACCCTCCCTCCCTTGTTGCGTCGCTTCTGTGTGTGCCTCCCTCTCCACCCCTGCTGCACCGGGGAGCCTCCCGCTCCACCCCTGCTGCACCGGAGAGCCTCCACCCGTGCTGCAAGTATCTTCTCCTGTTTTGAGACGCCTCAGGGTAAGTATGTTCTCCTCTACACTCTTTGCCTTTTGTGATGAACCCTTTTCCTTTTCTGATGCTGAGTGCTCATCACTTCTCGTTCATGTCCTTCACTGCTTTCTGAAATCTCGCCACTGGCTGGTTTTGGCCTGACTCACAAGCCACAGTCCCTCGTTATTGCAGGTATCAGCAGCAGACAACCAGCAACTTGGAGCAGAAAGCCTCGCACCTGGAGCACAGGCAGCAGCAGGTGCTGCTTGGGGCGAATGTGTGGCGCAGGGGAGGCAGGCTCTGCCAAGGAGGAGAAGTGGTACGTGCCAGGGGGTGCTTGCAGGGGGGCCGTGAAGTGAGTCGTAGGGCGTCGCCGCGCAGAGGCAAGAGTCGTGTCTGTTGCCCTTGCTTCCGCCACTCGCCTCCTGCTGCTTCTGACCCTCCCTTGTTGTGCCGTGTATGTGTGGCTCCCTCTCTCTCCCCATGCGTGTGTGTGCCTCACGGCCTGCGAGACGGACGGGAATGGCAGCGAGAGGACGTGGACTGTGCATGTGCATGTGGCAAGAAGGGGGGAAGGGGGGTGGGGGCGTGCATGTGTGCATGTGCGGGTGTGCATGCCTGTGAGTGTTCCTCTCAGCCTTGAAGCGACTGTGCCTGCCCTTTGGTGGGGACCAATAGCAGCAGCAGTGGTGGTGGCAGCAATAGTTGCAGCATCAACAGCCACTGCAGTGGTTGCAGCTGCAGCAATGGAGGGGTAATTACGGTCTACCCTATGCTTCCAAGTTCCAAGTTCCCTCTATATGCATGTTTAACATGCATTCTTGTCTAGACCCCAGTACATTACTCGTTTTCCTGTCATCCTTCTCCTCAACCCTCCCTCCCATCTTTCTGTATCCTAATTTATTGGTGCCCTCGCCTCCCCGCCTGTCCCTTCATCCATGTCCTTGTATCCTGTTGTTGTTGTGGCTTTATTTTCTCCCCTCTCCATGTCCCATTGCTGTTTCTGGCAGCATCCGGGGGGGAAGCAGTGGCAGCAACAGCACTGCTGCGTAATCTACATGGTGGGTGTGATGGGACAATCTGCAACAGGGAGTTGCTGACCTTGTTATCGCGCATTTCTCACTTAGTGGCAGTGCTCGTCTCTCAATAGTGATCTGAGGTAAATACAAAACACACCTATTCTTTGCCGTCTAGTCGTCTTTACTTCTGCAGCTACTAAGTGGCTCCTCCTCTTTCTTTTCCTTCCTTCCATGTCCCACTGCTGTTCCGATGGCAGCTTCTCCTCATGAGTGACTCTCCTATGTTGAAGTGCAGGGCGAGGTGGAAGACATGTGGGCTGCCGCTTGCTGGTGGGTGCACCACCAAGAGGTCAAATTGGACCGTTGATATGCTTTGCCTCGCATATCTGTGCTTAGGTGTGCCATGTAAGCTTAGGTGTGCTTAGGTTTGTTTAGGTGTGTTGTGCTGTGCTGTGCTGGGATGGGATGGGATGGACCTGCATATTGTGGAATAGGTGGGTGGGGTGGGGTGGGCAGCCTGGAAGGTGCCTGGGCACAAACACCCAAGCAGGACAGAGTGACCTCCTTCAGGTGCTGTGCCATGCCAGGCACCCCAACAAGCAGGGGATGAGAGCGTGGAAATGCAGGGCAGTGATCATGCGGTGCATGCAGCATGCATGCGCATACAGAAAAGCCACCACCAAGAAGCCATGAGACAGGCAAACCCCTCTCGCGTAAAGTGTGGATGGCAGGGACTGACAGGAGGAAGCAGGGTTGTCACGGATTGCGCAGGGACTGCAGTGCAGAAATGGTCAGATACAGCAAAGCAGCCGACCAGTTAAACTGCTCACCAGCCAACAAGCCATCTGTGAACCAGCCTACTCATCCATGCAACCAACACTCCAGCCAAACAGCCTACTCCAGATCCTTGCATCCTGACCTCAAGCTTCAGCATGGCATCTGTACACTGGCAGTATTCCCTGCTCAGTTGTGGATTCAACACCCCCATAATTGCCCATGACTGCGTTTGCGGCTGCCACAAACCAGTCACCAACCAGACCTCATGCCTACAGGGTACATACAGGACCGACATAATCCTTTCAGCACACGGACTCTTGAACTCCATGTCTGCAACCAGGCTTGGGAAGCAGGTGCACAACAGAAACCTTAGCCACCAGGCTTGGGAAGCAGGTGCACAACAGAAACCTTAGCCACCAGGCTTGGGAAGCAGGTGGACATACAGCGATCAGTTTGAAGACCTAAACCCCATCAGGAAGAACTCAACACTAGCACCATTTCCTAACAAAGTATGCTTTGCTTCTCAGTTGCAACTTGGTGTGTATGACAAGCAGCTGTAAAAACGTTGGGGCGAGAAAAGGGCACGTGTGTGGAGATTTATTGTTGCGTAGGCTGACAATGTACGGTAGGTATGTTGCTACTAGAACTGACTGGTACGGAAAGTGCAGTAAGAGTTCTGCCCGATGAGATCAATCACTGCTCAGCCACCAATATTGGCCTTGATTGAACTGCCCATGTAGAGGATAGTGCTGCCCTTTTTGCGTAAAAAACACTTGCTTCTTGGCATTTGATTTGACCGGTCTGCTTGCTCGCCCCGCACTCTCTCCCTCCATGCGTGCCGGTGCCCATTCCCTGCAGCCTATGTTTCAGTCTGGGGTCCAGCGAGGACAAACGAGGCCATCTCCTCCAGCCCTGCTTCCCGGTACAGCCCTGCCAGCTGCTCACGCGTCTCGTCCCACGTGCCCTCTGCTGCTGCCACGTCCAGCAGAAAGGCTGCGTGGTCCAATGCCACCTGCAGTTGTATGGTAGGGCAGCGACAAGAGAGATGGATGGGGCAGAAGCAAGGAAAAAGGAAGTGATCAGGAGAACATCCCCAAGCACTAGCAGCAGCCGACTGCTGAGTGAAGCTGGCCTGCACCAACTGCCTGCTTCTGTACAATCGTTTGCTGCTGGAAAAGGATTCATGTTCTCGCGGACGTTCAACTTGCTGTGCTGTGCCCTTCCGCCTGGTTTATTGACATTACCACAAATGGCTCACCCGTCTCCCACGCAACCACCCCCATCCCTCACCTGTGCCTCTGCCTTGCCCTTGTTGACATCCTCCTTCCTGCCCTCCTCTGTCAGCCGCTCCAACGCATACTCCAGCTGCGAGTCCCCATACCCCGCCAGCTCCGCCACCTCCTGCTCGCACACGGCACATGCACACATGGCACATGCACATCAAAGGGGTTGGGTGGACTGAATGCAGAAGTGAAGGGGGAACACCAGAGGGGGTTGCCTGGTACGGCCGGGCCTGCTGCACTCACCTGGTACGGCCGGGCCTGCTGCACTCACCTGGTACGGCCGGGCCTGCTGCACTCACCTGGTACGGCCGGGCCTGCTGCACTCACCTGGTACGAGGCCCCCAGGGTCCACCAGGGGGACTTGAGTGCAATGCGCGCTGCATCCCTCGCCTCTGTTGGCCTCCCCACTCTGAGCACCGGGACGAAGGGAGGAGCGATGGAGGGATGGAGGCACATGGAGGGGCCAAGGGAGACAGAGGGACAGGGGGATGTGGGGAGGAGGGGAGAGGGAGCTTCAGCAGTGACAGCATGGGTAGGAAGCATCGCCTTTCCCAGCGACTCATACATGCTTCCTAACAACCTCTCCCAAAAGAAGCTGTCAGGCCTGCTGCCTCTGCCCATGTAATAGCCACCCTGACAGCCAGAACCAGCAGAGTGGTGGATCACCTGAGCAGCAGCTGTGCGTTGAACGTGAAGGGATGTGCGAAGCCCGGGAAGTGCTTGCGCGCATAGAACTCCCCCGCCACCAGCGCTGACACCTGCCGTGACAAGCGCACACACGTGCGCAGAGGAGAAGCAACGGCACAATGAATCAAGCTCGGAGATCTGTTTATCATGGTGGTACAGGGACGAACGGAGCCCAAACTGGCACAGCGTGCTGCACGCACCACACACCGTACCTGGTCACCGTGCTCCAGGTGCCGCAGAGCAAGCCTCTCGAGGACGTCCGGGAACATGCCCACCTGCCAGCACCAGTCGAGAGGGCAATGAGGAGAGCACAACGAAGGGGGAAAGGGGGATGAGGAGCATAGTGAGGGGGGAAAGGGGGAGGAGCGGAATGAATGAAGGAGAACGCAACGGTGGGGCTGCATGCACAAAACGGGCATGTAGTACGACGACACAAGCACAAGCGCTGCACCACGGCATGCGTAACACGCATACCTTGGTGGTCAGGTAGGCGTCAAGGGACTTGGCCTTGGCTGCAGCAAAGTCCCCACGCGAATACAGCCTGCGCCCCTCCTCCCCCGCCGCTTCCCCCACCCTCCCCGTGCCCCCCTCCGCGCTGCCCTCCTGCCCCCCCACGTCCTCCTCCACGAGCGCCCTCTGAATGTACTCGTCCGCCTGAGGGGGGAAGGCGTAGATGGGTTGGGGGGGAGGGCGGGAGGGAGTGGGGGGAATATGGCGGCTGATACTCCCGGAACCGAACCCCCACGTCCTCCTCCACGAGCGCCCTCTGAATGTACTCGTCCGCCTGTGGGGGGTGGGTGTAGGGGGGGTGGGGGGGGGGAAGGGAGGGAGTGGGGGGAATTATGGCGGCAGACGTGAGTGATGAGATCCCGTCAGCCACATTGACCATGCGGCCCTCTGAATGCACTCCCCAAACCGCTTCCAACCCAACTCGCCATGCCACGCCATGCCATGCCCATCATCAACCCCTGTCATGCTGCGCCATCCCATGCCAGCCGTGGCTACTCACCGATCGTGCAACCAAGACGCAGCCGCCGCCCTCCCCCACGCGGATCACGGGCATCTGCATGCTGACGTGGACAGAGCACAGGGGGAATCGGCATTATGTTCACGCGAAACAAATTGGAGGAAAAGGAAGGAGGGAGACGAATCGCAGAAACGAAACGCAGCACTGATACCGACGAGCAGCGCGCCGAGCCATGGGGGCGAGCGCACTTACCCCGGGGGAGCGGTGGGCCAGCGGAGCAGCGCCGTCACGGTGCCTGGGGGCGCGCATCGGGTGGGGGGGAGGGGGAAGGCGGGGGTGAATGAACACGGCGAAGAGTTGCTCATGGCAAACGGCGGCTGCATGCAGTCGTGGAACCAGCGGCTCCGTATGGAGCACAGCCGGGACGAACAGAGAAAGCTTTGCGGAAGGGAGTTAAAAGCGACGGTAACAGTGGAATTGCGACGAATAGGTCTCACGGCATCACGCGGGTGAGCGCGAGGGGACCGCTTTCAGGCTTTCCCCGCTCGCAAGGCGCCCAGCGCTTACCGGTGGCTGGGTTTCGCGTGAGTGGGACGGCCAGCGGTACCATGCCCCGGCGATCGGCGGGAGACACGGGCTGCTCGCCTGCGCATTAGGGCCGCGGGAGGCGTGGCGGGGAATGGGGGAGGGAAACGGGACGACGGAGGACGAGCGAGGTGGATATTGAACTTGCGTAGTTGAAAGCTGCATTGCATGAATTTCAAGCGGAAACGGGAAAAGAGTCATCCAGTCATTCGATAGCTTCCCGCATTCGCTCACCCTGCGCCTGGAGCACGCGGATCAGCGCGCTCAGCAGCGGCGGAGGATCGATCGCCGCGACGTCGCGCAGGAAGGCGGCGTGGTCTGCGCGGAGACGGGCAGTACAGCGGAATGATGGCAGATGGAGAATGCGATGGCGATGATAGATGGAATATGTAATCCGATGACTGGAGGGGCAGAGGACTGAAGGGATAACGGACGGTACGCAAACGACCGTACTTCGGTCACTGTACTTAGGTCGCTACAGGATGTTCGACGCACTCGCGTTGAGAATGTGAGCGTCTGAGAACCCATCCGCACCTTCCGTCGCCACTGATGCTCGACAGCTATGTCTCCTAGTCGCGCCACGGCGGTCATGTCGTCTCGCGCCGTCGTCACCGCCTCGTCGCGTCGCGACGACGATTCTGTCTGAGTACCGCGAGCTCGCGGAGAGCGCGACGGACTTAAATAAAGATACATCGGACCTCGGCTTGGCTCTGGGTTTGAGTGCGATGTGAGAGTAGCCGCTGACGCGATATCGTGTGCTAGCCGACCTGTCGCAATGGCTGCCATGGCTGGAATCCTGCTGACTCGCGGAATCTGGATAACGCGGCGCTTGATCGCTTAATTTAATCTACAACCGGATAAGTGATCGCCTCAAGGAATCTCAAGGGACGCAGCGAGTCGCGGTCGCGGGTACTACTGACAAGATGGAGGCGGCTAGCAGGGAGCTGTCAGTCACTCGGCAGTGGCTGGTCAGTGTGCTTGCCGTGACCAGGCCTGTCGATTGACGGGCATATGCCCTTAATGCCCTGACATTAAGGGCTAGTTTCGCTCCAGCTCCAATGCGTCAAGTTTTAGATTCGCACCCCACCCGTGCCACTAAGTGCTTCGTTTGACCCTTCCCCGGATGCGTTAAGGGACGAAACCAGGCCTTCCCCTTTATCTAAGTTTTGGTTTCCGATAGTTGGACCCCCCCACCCCAGGGTGTCAGAGTCAACCAACCCCACACCCCCCCCCCTCTTTCTCCTTAGCCTGCACGAGAGCGCGCGGAGGGGATTTTTCCCTTTAGCGTTTTCTAGCCAATCTCGTGTGTGTAGTGTGTCTCAGTCAGCCTTGGAGCACCCGAACATTCCCTTAGCACGTCAAAGGAACTGAAGCACTCTAGCGTAGCAGCTCTCTCGCTTAACCAAATACAGTGTAGTGCAAACTTCGTACATGCCCGGATTTCAAGTTTTCACTTTGGGGTGCGCCCGTGCCCGTTAAGGGCGCCAAAACGCTCACCTACACCCAACCAAGGGTCAGATGGGGAGGAGCTGGGGAGCGCAAGTACGAGCCCCAGGAACTTCGACAGGCCTGGCCGTGACACGGAGAAATCAATGGTCGGACAATCAAGGGCGGAAATGCCAAAAGGTGGATGGACTGAACAGAAGCTGCGATGTTGAATTTGCGATGCTGCGAACTGGCGAAAGGGCCCAAACCGTGGTGGTAAGCCACTCAAACGAAAGGGTCTGCTTCAATCACGTGACTACACAAACAGTTTCAGCAAATATGTTACCGTAGTTTCGTAAGCGGCCATCCTGTCCACGAAAACCAGTGGTAACTATCTTGATTTATCTTTCGCAATTTCCTAATTCGTACTGCCTAGTCCATCCTTCCGCAACCCCCTCCTCCCTCCACCCCCACCGGTTGCCCTAATTTCCTCCCTCGAGCCTCTTTCTTCCTCCTTTTCCTTCCTCTCTAGGACCGTCTTCCCTCACCCCCCACTCCACCCTAGACGTTCGCAATGGCGCCTCCCGCCAAGAAGGCTGCGGCCGGGTCCAAGGGAAAGAGGAAGCCGCACAACTTCGTGATCGACTGCACGAAGCCGGTGGAGGACAAGATCATGGAGATCGCGTCGTTCGAGAAGTTTCTGCAGGACCGGATTAAGGTCGACAACAAGGCGGGCGTGCTGGGCGACACGGTGAAGGTCACCAAGGACAAGGCCAAGATCCACGTCACCGTTGATGGGCCTTTCACCAAGAGGTGCGTGTTTTCGACGCCTTTACGCTTCATTCGTGTTTGCGTTTTCTGTTATCTCCTTTTCGACCATTTTGACAAGTCGCACCATGCCAGTCTCCACGTTTGTATAGGTCGTCTGGTAATTTTCCACATTTGGGAAACCCTAACATACATCCCAACCCCCCCAAAGACCCCTCCGCTCATTCATCCATCAGTGCGGCTATCCGCTGCCATGCGCCGGGCTCGCTGTCGATATTACCAGTTACCTCTTCATTCCCAATTAGAATTCTCTTCTCCGGCAACGTCTAGCTCGTCGTGTCGGATATGGGCAGCGAGCAGCGTCATGGGCCGAGTAGCTTGACGTTAGCTCCGCAGCGCAGTGTAGTGATCGCAGCATTCGTGACGGATGTTGATGTGTTTACGTAGTAGGGGGTCAACTGATAGGCGACTTCGCGGACCGCGCATAAGCTTAGGTTTTGGCTCCACAGAACTGTTTGTAGGTGCCTTGAACCATCGTTCCCTCAGAGCATCGCGTGACAGAGCAGTCTTACGGGAACTAAAGGGTTTCCAGCCAAACAGGTTGTAGCTAGTCACAGGTCCGTTTATCCGACTGCTAGCATAGGTTCTGTTCAGGTTCTCACGACTTTAGCGACGAGTTCCAACGAGTAGTCGGAGGGCAGACTTCAATCACACCACGATTTAGTTGCAGGTTAAGGGATAGATGTGCTCTTCAACTGACTTATTAGCAGAGGGCCACGTAGGGGACTAGAGAGATGTCCATTCTTGCCAGCCGTCATAAGGGGCTGTGTTCGTTGCAAACCAACAGCTGGATCGTGTTGGAGTGGGACCAGTCATCCGTAGAACGGAGCTGAACTCATAGTGTAAACCGGAGCAAGGGGATGCAAGCTAGTTTTACTTGGCCGAGGCTAGTTCCTGTAGCGTGCTTCTTTGCACTGCAACTTATCCCGACTCATTCCTTCGAACGCCGCACGTCAAGCGTCTTCGCGCTGGCAATTGGCGGTCAAATCAGGGTTTAGCGGCAATATTTGGAGAGCGAGTTAAGAGATTCGTCGGTTTGTTGGAAGCAATGTCAATGGGAAGCAGGGGGGATGCGTGGATCCACTCCTGCTAGGCGTCTTGTTACTGTCGCGCTGCGTTGTTTTGCGAAGCAACTGCTGGGACGCAATGGAGTAACACAGTTGTTTCGAGTAGGCGGGAGTTGAACGCATGACGGTGTAGGACGCAGCGCCATAAGGCCAATGGCGCCTGGATGAGGAGGAGCGTAGGAGGACTCTCTTATGTTCAGTAACCCTAAATCCATTTTGAGGGCAACTTCAGCTTCAATCCAAATCAATCTAAGTTAAATTCCTCTTGCTCAACTCCTCACACATTCCACTCCCGCACTCGTGCCATCAACATCACCCCCCCTGCAGGTACCTCAAGTACCTGACGAAGAAGTACCTGAAGAAGCACAACGTGCGTGATTGGCTGCGGGTGATCGCGTCCAACAAGGACCGCAACGTGTACGAGCTGCGCTACTTCAACATCGCCGAGAACGAGGCCGACGAGGAGGCTTAAATGGTCCACATGCACGCCTGTGCTTCACTCGCAGATTCACCTCACTCTCGCACGCCCCCCCACACTGCTGCTGGACCCACAGGGGCCTGCTGCCGCTGTGCCGTTGCTTATCTCAATCCAGCCCCTATTTTCAGGCTGGCAGAAGTCCTTTTCTGCTTTCTTTGTACCAGTTACATTAGTTGCAGTTTCCCAGGGCTCTCCGAAGCTGTGTCTGGTGAGAAGGAATCGCCTGTAAATTGGGTGGAGAGAAGAAAGCAGCGGGTTGCTGAATGTGCTGACCAGATCCCCTTTTGTTCAAAATCTCAACTCTGCTTACAAACTTGAACTATGCAAAAGCAAATGTGCACATGGTACAGCTCTCAGTGCCTTTCTTATGAACCATATTAGCCCTTGATTATTGGAATCTTCTTGGAGTGGTAACTGTTCCAAAGTCGAGTGCTGTTTTCAGCGAGTATCACACCAAGCGGGCAGAAGTTAGCCGAACACCACAATTTTCCGCCTTCACAAGTCGAGCGCGTTGGCTTATTCCCTTCCTAGGTCACTCCTGTTCTCCCGTCCTCAATAGACGACAGTCCCTGCATCGAACTGCCCTCTCCATCCGTCTCCTATACCTCGCCCACACCTTGCCCTCACTCCCTACTTCCTAGCAACTTCGTGTTCAATCTTGTACCGCTCGTCATCTCGCCACATACCTCTTGTTGAGCAACGCACCTCGTTTCACTGAAAATCCCGTCAAACTGCTAAATTCCCAAGTCCATTAGCAGTCGTTTTTCTCTTCAAGCCGCATATCTCTTAAAGCCGCGGCCAGCATGCCGCTATCCGACGAGCACTGGCGGCGGTTCGGCCCGCTAGCGGCGGGCGCGCTGTTCGGTGCGGCGTGGTGGATATGGGTGGACGCCGTCGTGTGCAATTCCTCCACCGTGCCCTTCCTGCACTACGTCCCAGGTACCGCCCCCCCCTGCCGCACTGCGTCCCAGGAACCGCACACCCCTGCCGCGCTACGTCCCAGGTACTGCCTCCCCCTGCTGCGCAACGTGACTGCGTCCATTTCCACCTTCCCATTTCCCACCAGCCAGTCTTTCCCCCCTTCCTCTTTTGGTCCCCCGCCCTTCGCAACCCTGGGGTTCGTTACAGGCATATTCGCTACAGTGGCGGTGATGTTCGCCGCCGTGCACCGCGACGAGCTTGGAGACGCCTCAAAAGTTTCCCCCCTTCCTCCTTACCCCTATCGCCTCGTTACAGGCATATTCGCTACAGTGGCGGCGATGATGTTCAACGCCGTGCACCGCGATGAGCTGCACGACTACTCGCCCTACGACGACGGCGCCGGCTGCAGGTCCCGTCTCCTAGTAGCCCGCCGTGCCCTAGTCCCCTCGCCTCCTGCACTCCTCCTCACCCTGCTGCCCACTCCGCTGCCCTCTCTGCACCATGCTCTCTCTCCCACTCTTCCCCTCCTCTCCTCGTGCCTGTCATTCCCCAGCCCTGCACCGCCCACCCACGCTCCTTCCTCCTCCTCCCCTCCTTCTCAAGCGACTCTGGCCCCAATCTGGCATCACACCACAAGTGCACACTAATTGCAAATCGTTCTCCCCCGTCCCCCCCTCCCCCACCGCCCTCCCCCACACCCCTCCCCCTCCCCCTCCCCCTCCCCCGCCTGAGCAGGTCGCGCACGTGGCTGTTCCTGGCGTACGTCATTGCCTTTGCATCGCTGGCGGGGGCGGCGGGGATGCTCATAAAGGACGCATCGCCGCCCACCACGTCCTCGTGGCCCGGCGCTGCCGGCGTCTTCCAGTGCGCCTTCATCATCGCCAGGTGCGCCTTCATCATCGCCAGGTGCGCCTTCATCATCGCCAGGTGCGCCTTCATCATCGCCAGGTGCGCCTTCATCATCGCCAGGTGCGCCTTCATTATCGCCAGGTGCGCCTTCATCATCGCCAGGTGCGCCTTCATCATCGCCAGGTGCGCCTTCATCATCGCCAGGTGCGCCTTCATCATCGCCAGGTGCGCCTTCGTCATCGCCAGGTGCGCCTTCATCATCGCCAGGTGCGCCTTCGTCATCGCCAGGTGCGCCTTCATCATCGCCAGGTGCGCCTTCATCATCGCCAGGTGCGCCTTCATCATCGCCAGGTGCGCCTTCATCATCGCCAGGTGCGCCTTCATCATCGCCAGGTGCGCCTTCATCATCGCCAGGTGCGCCTTCATCATCGCCAGGTGCGCCTTCATCATCGCCAGGTGCGCCTTCATCATCGCCAGGTGCGCCTTCATCATCGCCAGGTGCGCCTTCATCATCGCCAGGTGCGCCTTCATCATCGCCAGGTGCGCCTTCATCATCGCCAGGTGCGCCTTCATCATCGCCAGGTGCGCCTTCATCATCGCCAGGTGCGCCTTCATCATCGCCAGGTGCGTGCGTGTGTGCTGCGAGGTGCGCTATTTTGGGCCTGTCATGGGTCTTCCAGTGCGCTTTCATCATCGCCAGCTGTGCGGAATCATTATCTGTCATCTGCCCCTTATCTGCCCGCATACCCTCTGCTTCAATCACCCACCTTTCTGCTTACTCGCCCCTGTCTCCCCTCCCCCTCTCCCCTGCAGTGGCCTTGTGTACTGGCTCTCACGCTCCTCTGAGTCATCGCCCTCCTACTTCTGACACCATGCTCGTCATAACCTCATCTGCCCGTCATAACCTCATCTTCTCTCTTTTCTCAAACACTGCTATTGCTGCTCGCCCCATGCGGCTGCTTCCGCCCTCCCACCATCGCCTACCACCAAAGCTGCTCCCTTTGCTGCTCCTAAGAAGGCAAATGCCTTGCCTGCTGTTGATGGGATCTGCTTCAGGCTCATCTCATCGTCCTCTTTCGAGGCGCTGCGCTCACTACTTGTACAGATGATGCTGCGTGTGGTTGTATAGCTGCTTGTGGTTGTATAGCTGCTTGTGGTGGTATAGCTGCTTGTGCATGTTAATAACAAACCAAAGTGGGTTCATGCACTAAACCAGTTTGATTGTCCAATGGGCTTAAAGCAGGCGCCTAGAATGGCAAAGGTTCAAAATTTCTGAACTTGAACTTAGAATTCTTTCCATTCTAGTCGGGCTTTAACAACTACCATGGGCAAAACAAATCAGAATTTAAACCCCCCTGGATTAACTTAGACCCCCCTTAATTTACTTGGACCCCCTAAAGTAACGTAGATCCCCGTAGATTTACTTAGACCCCCCTGGATTAACTTAGACACCCTCGGATTAACTCAGACCCCCTAGGGACCCCCCGGACAAGCTCTCGCCTCGCGCCGTCCCCTGTGTCTTCCTTGGTTTCCCTGAGGACTCCTCTGACTTCACCTTTTACCACCCTCCCTCTCACCGGTTCTTTGACTCCCGTGACGTCCGTTTCGAGGAGTCCACCCCGTACTACGTCAGGTACCCCAGTCGAGGTCTCCCGGTTCCTCCTCCCCCCCTCTTCCTGACAGCCGCTCCCCCGCCTGCTCCCCCGGTACAGCCTCCCCCCCCTGGTCCAGCCCCGTCTGGTGTGTCTCAGGCCAGCCCTCCCCCTTCGGTAGCCCCCCCTGTACAGCCTCCCTCCCCACAGTCTTCCTCGCCGCCTCCTGCAGGTGCTCCCTCTCGGGAGGTTGGTCCTGCGACTGTCCCTGTACAGGTCTCTGGTTCTGGGGGTGCTGGAGTTGGAGCTGAGCCGCGGGTTGCAGAGGACTCTTGTCTTCCGGGGGCTGGTACTGGTCGTGCGGAGTCTGGGGGTGCTGGTGCGGAGTCTGGGGGTGCTGCGTCTGGGGGTGAGGGTGTCCCTTCGGTTTCTGGAGAGCCTGGGTCTGGAGCTGGTGTTGGTGCTGCCTCTGGGGGTGGTGTGCTTGGTGCTTCGGAGGTCGACTCTGGGGCTGCCGCTGCCCCGGACACTACTCCTTCCCCCCACCCCTACCCGACCAGGTTCCAGGCTCGTGTTCGCCGTGCTCGTGAGGAGCAGCTGGAGTTGGAGAGAGAGGAGAGAGAGTTGCAGCGGCTCGAGGAGCAGGAGCGACAGCAGCAGGAGCAGCAGCAGGAGCAGCAGCAGGGGCAGCAGCCGCTGGAGCAGCAGCAGCCACAGCAGCCGCAGCAGCAGCAGCAGTAGCAGCTGCTGCCGTCTCCTCCTCCTGTCTCGGGTCTTCGGACCCTTGGTCTCCCGTCTCCCTCTCCTTCCTCCTCCCCCTCTCCTCCCGTCTCTGGTCCTCCGCTTCCTCCTCCTGACCCCTCTCCCGCTGTTTTCCCTCGTTCTCAGTCTTCGTTGTCTCCTCCTCCTTCTCAGACTTGGGCCTCTCGTCGCTCCCCTCGTGCTCGTCCCTCGTCTCCTGTTCCCTTCACTGACCTTCGTACAGCCTTCCTTTGTTCTCGTCCACCTCGTCCGTCTCCGTCTGTGCTTCCGTCTCCTCCTGAGTCGGCCCTCACTGTGTCGCTTCCTTCCCCTGTCACTGACTACTACCGCACGTACCGTCCTGTTCTCTCTCGTGTTCTCGCCTCTCTTGTTACCCACCCTCGTGCCTCTGTGTCCTCTGTGTCCGCTCTTACTGCCGCAGTCACTGAGTTTGCCTCTACCCGCCGCCTTGACTTCGCCACCGCTCTTGTGGCAGCTCCTCCTTCCAGTCCTCTGGCCGTCGGGGGTGTGTCTGCCCTTGGCTGTGACGCCCTAGAGGACAGGCAGTTTGAGCTAGAGTTCCTGGCGGCCGCTTCCCCTCATCTCTGTGCCATGCTCCTCGCCCCTGAGGGTGACCCCGACGCCCTTGACATTCCGACTCCTCGCACTTACGCTGAGGCAGTGTCAGGGTCTTGGGCCTCTCAGTGGAGAGCTGCCATGGACGCAGAGATGGCCTCCTACAGATCCACAGGCACCTACGTCGATGAGGTTCCCCCTCCGGGGGCGAACGTAGTCGACGGCATGTGGATCTACAGGGTGAAGCGGCCACCAGGATCTCCTCCGGTCTTCAAGGCGCGCTACGTGGCTAGAGGTTTCAGTCAGCGCGAGGGA